GGGGGGGGAGATATGAAATGGAGGTAGGGGGAGCGGTGTTACAGATTTACACGGGGAAAGTCACTAAATCTATGCCGCGTAAACGAAGACGACATTGGTGACACGCACCTTCGTGGGTTAGTGGAGCTGCTTTGACCCATTACCAGGAAGAGTTTCAGCTCTGTATGCACGCGGTTTGGTATCAGTAGTGGGTAAACTAAATACTTAATATTTTGTGTGTGAAAGAGAGAGAAAGACGACTCCGTATGCTCACGTGATTGCAGGCTGTTAAACCTATAAAAAACGCAGTCACTGCAAACTGCTCTTGAGATAAACACAGAAAATGTTATATTTTGCTTATGGCATGGCACGTTTACTGTAAGAGAATGCTAATTAGACCTGTTGCAAAAGATAGATTAAGATTTTTGCAGCATCTTGGAACTCCATTTTCTTGCCTCGTTTTCGCACAACATAGTTTACACTATGTTTTCTGGTTTAAATAAATCAATCTAAAATATGACTTCAGTTATAACCCAGTTATAACAGATCAGTACTAGTGTTGATGGAACTGTAACAGGAAGCACCCTTTTTGGAAACAGAAAAGTACAAAGTAGGATCAAGACAGATATCTCGTTCTTCTCTTATCTGGCAATTTGTATTGAAACTCTGCAGTCTAGAGGAGATTATGGTACAGAAAACTTACTTGCTGCCTTATCACACGTTTGTAGGAGTGTAGCACTGAGAATGGGAAAGGTCTAATGCCTTAATTCGCCTTTCCGTAACACTTATGTCTTCCCAGGTGTCTAACCTTTTCCATTTCCAGATCTAGAACCTCTTTTATGTGTGTTCTGACTATTGTGAACGGGTGTTATATAAAAAAAAGTATTGTAGTCTTCAGTGGTAATTAGCAGGTTCTTTTCCTGTTGTGAGCGTATTGATGTACTGATATAAAACTAATAATTACCAGTTTATAATGGCAGAGGTGATATTGTAGGTAAGCACGATGTGGATCTCTGTTAGTTTAGGAAATGTAACTTTACATGATTACACAGGTATTAGGCTCTGTCATAGCTGTGACTTGGTTTGAAAGATAAGTTGATCTGGGGTCTCTTTAAAATTTTGGGCTGTTACAGCCTTGATTCAATAGCCTCTTCCAGGAAGAAAACATTATTCTTGGTTAAAGAAAACTGTAACGTTAAACAACTGAGGCACTGAGAACCAGAATAGTTGCACAAGCTAAGTACACCCCTTTTTTCTCCTAGCTTTGAGATACTTTGCTGCCTTCATTGCTTGCAGTCCTTCTCTTTGGAAACTTTTGTTTGGCGTTGGCAGCACCTTCACAGCCCGCGCAGAAAAACCTGGAGCGGTGGTGGTAGCCCGTGGCGGGGCCGTGTCCGTCACCCCCCCGCCCGCCTGGCTGTTGTTGGCCTGCGCGGCGCTGCGGCGGCGCGAACTTTCACCCACTTCTCGGGAGCTGTCACGTGAGCAGACCCGGACAGGGGAGGGGCGCCGAGGTGCGCCTGGGGGAGGGGGCGCGCACCCCGGAGAGGACGGCCCGCGGAGCTGGAGCCGACCCGCCAGCTCCCGCATTCTGGGGTGGAATTCGGGGAGACAGGAGACGGAGCAGCGCACGCCCCGGAGCAAATACAAGTTCTGGAGCGATCGGAGGTTGAATGTGCGTTTCGCAGGGAGGATTTTTCTGTTCGCTGCACGCAGGATAGTCGCCCCCCCCCAACCCCACACCAAAACCTGTGGTTTTTTAATATTCCCAAACCATTGTCTTTATCCTGCAGCATGCTGTATCATAGTCCTGAACTCCACGTGTTCAGAAAAAACGAGATCTAAATGACTGAAAAGCATCCCTTTTTTTTCCAAGTCTGGATTAACTTTAATTTGAATGGTCAATTTAAATGTCGTTAAAATGTTTGGAAGTGGTTCTTCAGTCTTTCAACCCTATACAGGCTGAAAGACCTTAATTCAGGTCTTTCAACCTTGTACAGTAAGTGATCATTGAACTGCTGGGAGAGGAATCCAATCAGTTTGCCTTTGGTCACCAAACATTGTTGTCCACCTTCCAGGACCTCCAGAGTCCTAAAATGTGACATCTTGCATGTCTTACTGTTAGCTTAGTAATTAACACATTGTCTGCTATAGCCAGTCTTCTCTACTTTGCCTGACTGTCTCCAGTCTGATCAGGTGAGAAGGCAACTTACTATCTGTGGCTTTTCTCCTGGAAGTGCCAGTGAAAAGTCTGTCTGTGAACATCTTCCCAAGAAATCTTGATGGCATCTGTGTTGACTGGAATGGGAGTTTAAAGCCTGCAGGCAAACATTTGGGTGTCTTAAATTGAAAGCTGAAACTGGGTTTGAATCTAGCCCCTGATATCACCTTGCTTATCGCAGTAGCTAGTGATCACTAGTTTGAGCTCTCAGAAATGACTGAGTGGGTAGCAGATGAACTTTCTTTCACTCCTTAGTTCCTCACCATCTCAGACCTGTTAAATGAAGACAGATTGATCCAGATAATACATTCATCCAGCATAATGGAAAATAGTGATTCAGAACTGCTGTTTGTGACTATTCTCTCCGTTGCCATCAGTTTTTCTAAAGTGGTTCCAGTCTGATCCAGTCCTTCTGAGTGGTTGAAAGGTGTGTGTGAATCAAAGCTCGAACTGTTTTTCTTGACCATTTCAGAGCTACAGCTGACTGTTTGCCATTGCTGTGGTGTAACGTCTGTTAGGAGCTCGGAGCATTGAAATGAATCTGCCTCTCACTGTCCCCTAACCTATTCAGGATCCCAGCTGCGGTGAGCTTGTGGGACAGAAGATTTCTGTGTGACAAATAGATCTCAAGTCTGCTTTTAAGGAAGACAGCTGTTCAGGTATGTTTATGTTTCATTCGTTGGTCTGTTTATTAGTGTCACTTCCCTGCTCCAGTTTACCACCTGGGAAGGGAATAAAGAAATTAGCCCAAGATTCCAAAGGAGATTCCTGCAGAGGGTAGGTAGCTGATATTCACCCACAGGTGATCTTGGAAAACTGCTGAGGACAGGACATAAGCTGATAGGTTTGTCAGTGAGAGAGCAAGTTACTGCACACTGCTTAGCTGTTCTGATTTCAAACTGTCTGCTTTGGATGAGGTTTGCAGTATGTCCCGGTGTTGCTCTACTTGGGCAAATACATGTATTCAGTTCTCCGCATTAGCTTGAACCACTGTGTTTGTTCATTTTTCACATGTGGGAAAGCCTTTGAGACATTTGTGATTCCAAGGCACCACAGCTGTCAGCTGTAGGTGCGGGGTGGGAAGGATTGGAGTCAAAGGTGAGAACTTAAAATTTACATGTCAGATGATGGCTGTTGGAGGACAGGCTTCTGTCTCTTTCCAAGTGGCTTAAGCCTCTTCTGTCATGGCATTACTATATTACTATATATTACTATGACCCTATGAGAGAGAACTGCCACATAAACAACAGATTCAGCTTTTAGGAGACTTTAAGTGGTTTTAGCATGTGTCCGTCACAACTAAAGTGGCATGAGAAAACCTGTCAGTTTAACTTTGTTTTCATCAGATCAAATGATGATTGGTTGAATGCTATGTTAATTCAAGTTCTAAGGAGACTGATTCTCTAGTTTCTGTTTTAATTCTATGCCATAGTCATTAGGTTCACCTGAGAAGCCCCGTTGGGTGAATTTAGTCCACATGACTATTGCACAGAAATGATTTCTTGTAATGATTTTGTCTGTAGAATATGTTTAATCATTGTAAGATAGGTGAGTTATTGGTAAGATGTGAAAGTAGCAAGTCTTTTCATATGCTGAAGTATGATTAGATATTATTGAATGTTAGTATGCGAAGAGGCTGTTTAGACATAGACATTCTCAAATGAATAACAGTGTCTGGTTAATCTTTACAGTAAGTTCAGGAGTCAGTGCCTTGCAGTATATCACATGAGCTATGAATAAGCTCTCTAGTCTTTCTGAGGCTTTGGTATCTTGTTACCTTTTTGCTGAAGTGTAGTATATGCTGCAAGAAAGTGGCATTAGCTGGTAGACTATCCAAGAAGCCAATACAAGAGAGACCAGACAGTCTTTTTGGTCATATGTTGAAATGTTTGAGCTGTATATTTTGTATTATTTATTGAATATTTTGTAGATCAAAACCTGAATTTCCTTTGAAAGGCATAAAACTCTAGACAATTTTGATCTTTGTTTGGATCACACTTGCATAAGAGGACCTTGAGTTACTAAGTCAGTGCTGGATGCTGCTGTACAGTGTCTGAAACTATTGCATTTATAGCAAACTCCATGAAATGCTTTACTGAAGTCACATTTGCTTTATTATTGACAGTACAGGCTTTCTTAATTTGATAGGAACAGTCTATGTTTCCTCTACATAGGTATATACATGTAACATTAAATTCCAAGGGCTTGGTTTTTAGTAGGAGTTTGTACTGTTTCCCACTGTATCACTGCAGTATACATGGCACTTAAGGTCAGCTCCAAAAATCTACGGGCTACCTTAAGAGTAGCAGGCTCTCATTGGACAATGTAGTGGTGTTTAAAGTATCAACATACATTTTAAAACCTTGTATAATATCACAGTGGTGCTTTGTAGTGAGGACAATGTTACTGGAATAAGATTGAAAAATTCAGATGAATCATTGTCTGAAAAGTTCATGCAAATCTCAGTAAAAATTCTACTGCAAAATCCAGCTTCTTTTATCCTCCAAACTAATAGTACATTTTTGTCATTTGCAGAAGACTTGCCCTTTTTGAATGTTTGACTGCTACAACCAATTTGATTTCCAAGGTCTGCTGTTCCTTTAAAGTAATTTAAGCACAGGATTTCTTATTCAGGCCTTAGTGTTCTAAAGTAAGCTTATTTTTTGAAGCAGGTCTATATTAAATTTTATAAAGCATCTCTTCTAGGTATACAGTTAAAACTGTATAAAAACACAGGATTGATGCTTCAAGCCCTTAATCTTCTTAGTGGCTGGTACTGGACTGTCTAGTAGTTTCATTTCTCTCTTTTAACTGGGGAGACCAGAACTGTATTTAAGATGGGGCCTCAACAGCGCTGAGTATAAGGGAAGAGTCACCTCGTTCAACCCGGTGGCAACACTCCTCCTAATGCACCCCAGGATTCTGTGAGCTGCCTCTGCTGCAAAGGCACCTTGCTGGCCTGTGTCCAACTTGCTGCAAAGTTGCTTTCCCGCCAGTCAGTCTCCAGTGTGTACTAGCGTATGGGTTTACTTCTCCTTAGGTGCGGGACTTTGCACTTCTCTTTGTTGAACTTAATAAGATTTCAGCCTGTGTAATTATCCAGTCTGTAAAGGTCCATCTGGATGGCAGTGAAATCCTCTGGTCTGTCAGCCACTACTCCCAGTTTCAGTCCCTGTACTTGTAAATCCATCTAGTTTGTTTGTTTGTTTTTTTTCCTTTGTGGTTTTTTTTGTTGTTGTTGTCTTCAACCTTTTAAATAGGTTTAACAGCTGCTTGTGTCAAACATCTGGAAGGGTGTCAAACTGACAGACTTCAGAACCTCTGCAGAATTCAGGCAGGTGAAGACATTCTTGATGAATGTTACAAAGACAACTACACTTAAAAAAATTTTTTGGAAGACTAACCCTTTACATTTGTGTAAGAAGAGATCCTGCTGCTTGATGTAAGTATTTGATGCACTCTTTGGTTTGGAGAACCTTGTTTGCACAAGTCTTTTTCAACAAAAACAAAGAACTCGAGCAACCTGGATTATCCATAGATTGTATCTGCTTCAGGGATGGCTGTATAGATCAGTGTTGTCATTAAACTGTAGTTGGTAGCAAAGTGTGTAAGTAAACTTACATGCTAGGGAGTTATTTTAGGATGTTGGCACTGGCTTTGTTGTGCTTCATTACATATAATTGCCTAGATAGTGTGCTTGCAATGAAAAGACAGCTGCCACAGGGTAGTTTAATTACTTTGTGTAGGTGGTATTGAAGGCTTGGATTGACAGGAGCATCAATAACAGAAATCTGAAGAGAAACTTGGAATAATGTATAAGAGACTTGGATGGACATCTCAGTGTTTGCAATTCTCTTGCTTGTAGTTTAGTACCTGGTATGAAATCAACAGATTTAAGCATAAACAGTTATTCATTGATTTGTATGAAACAAAATGCATTCATAGTTTGGGGGTTCTAGGAGACCTTTCTAGGAGAGCAGAAAATGCAAATTTCTGTAGTAATAGCTTAAACAGGTGAGAAGCTTAATCACTGTCTCAGCACAAACACAGCGCAGGTGATCTAGTGTTTTAATACTGGCGCGTATTTCACTAAGCCTGTCCTCAGACTCTTGGAATTCCATGATGTCTCCTAAAGTGTCAAAATATGGTAACAAATGAAAATACAATGAAACTTTTTGGATGTTTTTTTCTTCCAAAAGCTGTAGTAACCTCATTTCCTGAAGGGAGATCTGGTACATGAACAGTAAAATACTGGATAGGACTTCTTCAACGTTTTCAATATTTAAACAAGTTTCAGAGTTGAATGTCTTTTAAGAGAACTTGAGAGCTCCAGAATTTTTTTTCCTATTCTGTATGGCTGCTTGTAACATTCAAACAGTAACTCTTATTGCTGTGCATGTTGATAGAAATGGAATTTTTTCCCTCCCCCTTTTCTCTTTGAAATAAACCATTTTGGGGACAGAGACAGACATTGGGGCACTTGCTCAGTTCCCTAAGACCTTCCGAGTTCAAGGTGTCTAGCTTTAAATGGAAATCTTAATGTAGTTTTAAGTATGTTTCCTAACTGAAAATGGGTTTAATGTACTGATACTTCTCTCAACTTTCCATCTTGAAAACTTCCTTAAACAACATAATTGCAAATGATTTAGTATCACTCTTTTCTCCTCACCAGTCTCCATTCCTATTTGAAACCTGAGTGCTTAGCTAATTTTTGAAATTGTAAGTTTAAGAAAGGAGTAAAGAATTCTTCAAGATCAGGTTTCTGGTTGGTTTGTTGGTTGTGGTGTTTTTTATTTGTTTGTTTTGGTTTTTTTTTACATTTAAGCTTGCTGGTAGGATCTTGGCAGGAGCTAGAAGACACTACCTATGTGGTAAGATGCTTCTAATTGCTTTATTGGTGGTACCTTGCATCTGCATGAAGTTATGAAGGCTTCCAGAGGCTTCTGAATTCAGAACTGCCATCGTACTTGAAGATGCAGCATGTTCTAGCTCTTTGCACGGGGACATGTAGTGCTGCAAGTCTACCCACCATCTATGAATAGACTGTGGTTTGGGTACCAAAGATATCTATTTGAAGGCTCTGAAAGTACGAAACCTGTGTGGGGTTCTTGGTGAAGCTGTATGCAGCAGTCACTGCTTTTCCATGAAAACTGTTAACCTTTGATGGTCAAAGTACAGTAATTGGAGAGAATGGTTTTGTGAGCTTAGTTTGGTTAGTGACAGGGGTATGCCCTGTATACAAAAGCTAATCTATAAATAGATGTAAAAAATCTGTGAGGAGAGCCTCAAACTAAATAGTTGAGGTAACTTGCAAGTAAGAGTCATAGAATTAAGTCTTCCACCAAGGTTTTAGTTATTCTGGGTCATGTGAATAGGACTTCTCCTTAATTTTCCTCTGCATTTGTTAGCTTGCTTCCTTTGCAGGAGGAAGAGCTGTAGATGCAAAACCTACATTCACATAAAAGTCCCTTTTTTTGTAGTAGATGTTTGGACTGCTGCCAAGGGTTTTCTGTAATCTAAGAGGAATAGAAAATGGGGGAAAAAATGGATTGCAGGAGCCAAGCAATGTATGGGAAGCAAGTGGCTAAGATGAGTTCTGAGATAAGAGGTGACAAGGATATTCCCTTAAAGCTGAGGAGTTGCTTTTTGTGAGGTAGAG